GGCTTCCTCTCATATATATGTACATGGTCCTCATATCTCCTCTCAGCCTTCTCTTCTTCAGGCTAAACATGCCCAGCTCCTTAAGCCGCTCCTCATAGGGCTTGTTCTCCAGACCCTTGATCATTTTAGTCACCCTCCTCTGGACACATTCCAGCTTGTCAATATCTTGCTTGAATTGTGGTGCCCAGAATTGGACACAATATTCCAGGTGTGGTCTAACCAAAGCGGAATAGAGGGGTATATTATTATTATTATTATTATTATTATTATTATTATTATTATTATTCTACAAGAAGTAGGTGGACAATTTCAACAGAAAGGAAGAAAGCATGAAAACGAACAAAATCTGTCTACCAGTATTTTTTTTAAAATCTATAAAATCATAATACTAAATAAATAACAACATTCAAAAGCAGAGGAACTCCAGACAAGAAACAATCAGGGACAGCTAATCACTTCTCAACAAAGGATTCCACCAGGCAGTAAGAAGCCACACCTTGAAAACTGCTAGGCCGCTAAATGCTAATCAAGGTGGCCAATTGCAACATTTACCACCAATTGCAAACTTGGTGGTGTTTTGGACTTCCACTCAGCAGCACCCCTTTTCCTTTTGGGGTGCTGCTGAAACCATTTGACCCAGTTTCTCCTAAATGCCATGCCTTTGACTCCGAGAGTCAGTTTGCTAGATAAACACGCTATTCTTTGTTGGCTGGATTTATATGCAGCGTTTATCACAGAATCCTAGGCAGGGAGGGAGGCATTCAATAATTCAACAGAACTATTGAGGAATAAATCTATATTCTCGTGATATCAACCATCGAGTCAGCCAGAGAACTCATCTCTTGCAAGGGGTGTTTTGGCAGGAAATGGGTCCTTTGAGGTCCTCCCCAAGGTGAGAGGTCACTTTGGGTCACGCCAGGGTAAAAGTAGGAAAACCCCGGATGAGGTCCCACCGCCTGACCCTTTCTCCTTTCTTCGCTGCCTTGTTCTCAGTTGAAATTTGGAAAATAATTTTTTGTCCCATTTTTCTTTGCAAAGACTGCGCAGCTTTATTATAACTTATTTTAATTGGCAGGGTTTTTATTGTAATAGCTGCCTTCAATCCTTATATCGGGATAATATTTGTTGTTGTTCATTCGTTCAGTCGTCTCCAACTCTTCATGACCTCATGGACCAGCCCACGCCAGAGCTCCCTGTCGGCCGTCACCACCCCCAGCTCCTTCAAGGTCAGTCCAGTCACTTCAAGGATGCCATCCATCCATAGGCAGGGTAAAAGTGGAGTAAATAAAACTAAGCTTAGCAGCTGAGAGGGAAAAGGATGGGACCTCAGGCTGTTAGGAATTGTGGGAGTTGAAGTCCAAAATACCTGGAGGGCCCAAGTTTGCCCATGCCTGTTATATACTCTTCGGCTACAGACTGCATAGAATCATAGAATCATAGAGTTGGAAGAGACCTCCTGGGCCATCCAGTCCAACCCCATTCTGCCAAGAAGCAGGAATATTGCATTCAAATCACCCCTGACAGATGGCCATCCAGCCTCTGTTTCAAAGCTTCTAAAGAAGGAGCCTCCACCACACTCCGGGGCAGAGAGTTCCACTGCTGAACGGCTCTCACAGTCAGGAAGTTCTTCCTCATGTTCAGATGGAATTTCCTTTCATAGAATCATAGAATCCTAGAGTTAGAAGAGACCTCCTGGGCCATCCAGTCCAACCCCATTCTGCCAAGAAGCAGGAATATTGCATTCAAATCACCCCTGACAGATGGCCATCCAGCCTCTGTTTAAAAGCCTCCAAAGAAGGAGCCTCCACCACACTCCGGGGCAGAGAGTTCCACTGCTGAACGGCTCTCACAGTCAGGAAGTTCTTCCTCATGTTCAGATGGAATCTCCTTTCTTGTAGTTTGAAGCCATTGTTTCGTGTCCTAGTCTCCAGGGAAGCAGAAAACAAGCTTGCTCCCTCCTCCCTGTGGCTTCCTCTCACATATTTCTACATGGCTATCATATCTCCTCTCAGCCTTCTCTTCTTCAGGCTAAACATGCCCAGCTCCTTAAGCCGCTCCTCATAGGGCTTGTTCTCCAGACCCTTGATCATTTTAGTCGCCCTCCTCTGGACACATTCCAGCTTGTCAATATCTCTCTTGAATTGTGGTGCCCAGAATTGGACACAATATTCCAGGTGTGGTCTAACCAGAGCAGAATAGAAGGGTAGCATTACTTCCCTAGATCTAGACACTATGCTCCTATTGATGCAGGCCAAAATCCCATTGGCTTTTTTTGCCGCCACATCACATTGTTGGCTCATGTTTAACTGTTGTCCACGAGGACTCCAAGATCTTTTTCACACGTACTGCTCTCGAGCCAGGCGTCCCCCATTCTGTATCTTTGCATTTCATTTTTCCTGCCAAAGTGGAGTATCTTGCATTTGTCACTGTTAAACTTCATTTTGTTAGTTTTGGCCCATCTCTCTAATCTGTCAAGATCGTTTTGAATCCTGCTCCTCTCCTCTGGAGCCTTGGCTATCCCTCCCATAGATAGCTAGGTATGTTTACCTTAGAGACGAGATGGGTGTGAGAAGGGGACATGAGAGCCATGTTTACATATTTGGAAGGAGGTCCCATTGAAGGAAGGAATGGGCTTGTTTTCTGCTGCTCTGGGGACTAAGACTCAATTTAGACATGGGTTCCAATTGCAAGCTTGTTTTCCGCTGCCCTGGAGACTAGGATGTGGAACAATAGCTTCAAACTACAGGAAAGGAGATTCCATCTGAACATTAGGAAGAACTTCCTCTCTGTGTGAGAGAGCTGTTCAGCAGTGGAACTCTCCCGATTGGCGGGAACGAGAGGCAGGGCCTTCTCAGCGGTGGCCCCGTGGCTATGGAACGCCCTCCCTAGGGACATTCGATCGGCCCCTCCCTCCTGACATTTCGAAAGACAGTTAAGACCTGGTTGTTCGAGCAGGCAGTATAACTGATTAATTAAGACTCATGAAACGATAGGACGATGCAATGGAAAATGACTTTAATGATGAGATGCTAAGAACTGTATTTTATGACTTTAATTGTTTATTGTTATTGTTTTTATATGGTTTATACTATATGCAATTGTTTTTGACTGTATTTTATCTTGTCGGGCATCGATTGCCAAATGTAAACCGCCTCGAGTCGCCTCCGGGCTGAGAGGGGCGGTATACAAGCATAGTAAATCAATAGTAAATAAATAAATTGACTGTGTCAGAGTTTGGTGGAGTTGCCTTTGTTCTCTGGAGGGTTTTAAGCAGAGGCCGGATGACCATCTGTCGGGAGGGCTTGAATCATGTCCTCCAGCCTGGCAGAAAGAAGGGGGATTGACTGGATGGCCATTGGGGTCTCTTCCAACTCTGTGATTCTACTTCCCAGCATCCCCAATCCATCATAAGCGAGAGTGAGGAATTCTCAGAGTTGTTTCCCACCAGAGTCCAAGGGCTTCCTCCATAGATTTAACCCAAAGCACCTTCTTTTCACTGAATCGGTCCGACAAAAAAAAAAACTAAAGTATGAAGCTCCTGTCTACCACAAAGATTTTGGAAGATCCCAGCTTTTGACACTGGATTTTTCATCTCTTTAGTTTTTCAAACTCTTGTCCAAAGTATTCAGAGAGGCTCGTCTCTCTTTTGCCAAGTGACCTATATCTTATTGTCAGAGGCTTTTGTGGCCGGAATCACTGGGTTGTTGTAGGGTTTTTTTCGGGCTGTATGGCCATGTTTTAGAGGCATTCTCTCCTGATGTTTTGCCTGCATCTAGGAAAAGTGTTCTTGCCATGCATCAAGGGAACTGCTGACCGCAGAGGGAAGCTGATAAGGAAACACAACATACAAACTATCTCCAGACCCACCAAGAAATCCAACAAATGCTCCATTCAGCAAAGGACAAGAGGGATGCTCTCACCTCTGCAGGAGTCTCCCGTGTACTATGTAGCTGTGGACAAGTCTACAGAGGGACCAAACTACAAGAGAGGAGATTCCATCTGAACATGAGGAAGAACTTCCTGACTGTGAGAGCCGTTCAGCAGTGGAACTCTCTGCCCTGGAGTGTGGTGGAGGCTCCTTCTTTGGAAGCTTTGAAACAGAGGCTGGATGGCCATCTGTCAGGGGTGATTTGAATGCAATATTCCTGCTTCTTGGCAGAATGGGGTTGGACTGGATGGCCCATGAGGTCTCTTCCAACTCTTTGATTCTATGATTCTACCACCAAACGCAGCAGCAGCATTGCCCAGACACGAATCAAGGAACACAAAAGGCACTGCAGACTACTTCAACCAGAGGAGTCAGCCATAGCAGAGCACCCGAGGAACCAACCTGGACACAGCAGATTATTTGAGAACACAGAAATGCTGGACCACTCTCACCACCACCATGTCAGGTTACACAGAGAAGCCATTGAAATCCACATGAAACGTGGACAATTTCAACAGAAAGGAGGAAACCATGAAAATGAACAAAATCTGGCTACCAGTATTAAAAAAACTCTAAAATTACAACAGCAAAACAACAGAGAGGAAACAATCAGGGACAGCTAATCACCTCTCAACAAAAGATTGCCCCAGGCACTGCCAGGCCATCAAATGCGAATCAAGGTGGTCAGTTGAAACATTGGAGCCCCTGGTGGCGCAGTGGGTTAAAGCCCTGTGCCGGCAGGGCTGAAGACCGACATGTCGCAGGTTCAAATTCGGGGAGAGGCAGATGAGCTCCCTCTATCAGCTCCAGCTCCTCATACGGGGACATGAGAGAAGCCTCCCACAAGGATGATAAAACATCAAAATCATCCGGGTGTCCCCTGGGCAATGTCCTTGACACAGCAAAACAAACAAAGTTGAAACATTCACATCTAGCTCCAGCAGACAAGAGTCCTTTGTCCCACCCTGGTCATTCCACAGATATATAAACCCTTTTTCCTAGTTCCAACAGATCTCACTACCTCTGAGGATGCTTGCCATAGATGCAGGTGAAACGTCAGGAGAGAATGCCTCTAGAACATGGCCATATAGCCCGAAAAAACCTACAACGACCCACATCTTGCCAAGACCTTCGGCTCTTTCCCAGAATTGGCAATGGAAAATTAGGTCTTTTGGGCCAGGAGTATTACTCCCAGCATCTGGTAGTAGTGACTCTATTACTTCCCATTCTCCCTACTACTGGCCATGTCCTCTTGCTGCTCACTCCCAACCATCGCAATCAATATCGTAACCCCTGTGTTTCTTTTCCAGGCAAAACGGAGCTGGCCAAGCAGACGGCCAAGTACCTGCACAAAGATGTGAAGAAGGTGAGTCCCCTTCTCTTGTCTCCCTGAATGGAAGGATCCTGGGTTGTTCAGTTTAGGACATTCTGGAATCCAACTACAGGATTTCATGGGCCCATCTTCTCCAAATGTTGGTCTTCCAGGCATGGTCCAACTTCAGCTCCCAGGGATGTTGCCGTCTTTGGAGCTAGGCAAGATCCCTCTTCCGTTGACAGGCCTCCAGCTTTGCTCCTGTGTAATGTTTACTTTTGATCTCTGGCTCCTCGTCAAACGATTCAAGCTGCCAAGGACAGACGGGCAGCGCTAATTCGATGGCAGGCACCAACCGAGCAGATAATTATTAGTCCCTGATCAGTTTGGTTGCTATTTAGTTAATTAATGCATCAAAAGTGGAGGGGTCACAGAACAGGCGAGGAAATTATTGGGGGAAGATGGAAGACGAAGGGAAGGAAATGATGCATTTGGCAAGTGAAAGGGGGCCTTCTCACAAAATGGTCAAAAATCATGTATTCTGTGCCAGCGGAAAGGTTTGTCCTCAAACACCTTCCTCGGGTTTTCGTTTTACCGGATGAAGGTCTCAGAATCATAGAATCCTAGAGTTGGAAGAGACCCCAAGGGCCATCCAGTCCAACCCCCTTCTGCCTTAAAGGAAGACCCAATCAAAGCCCTCCCAGCAGATGGTCACTCTGCCTCTGTTTATAGAATCATATAATCCTAAAGTTGGAAGAGGCCCCAAGGGTCATCCAGTCCAACCCCTTCCTGCCTTAAAGGAAGACCCAATCAAAGCCCTCCCAGCAGATGGCCACTCTGCCTCTGTTTATAGAATCATATAATCCTAAAGTTGGAAGAGACCCCAAAGGTCATCCAGTCCAACCCCCTTCTGCCTTAAAGGAAGACCCAATCAAAGCCCTCCCAGCAGATGGCCACTCTGCCTCTGTTTATAGAATCATATAATCCTAAAGTTGGAAGAGACCCCAAAGGTCATCCAGTCCAACCCCCTTCTGCCTTAAAGGAAGACCCAATCAAAGCCCTCCCAGCAGATGGCCACTCTGCCTCTGTTTATAGAATCATATAATCCTAAAGTTGGAAGAGGCCCCAAGGGCCATCCAGTCCAACCCCCTTCTGCCTTAAAGGAAGACCCAATCAAAGCCCTCCCAGCAGATGGCCACTCTGCCTCTGTTTATAGAATCATATAATCCTAAAGTTGGAAGAGACCCCAAGGGCCATCCAGTCCAACCCCTTCCTGCCTTAAAGGAAGACCCAATCAAAGCCCTCCCAGCAGATGGCCACTCTGCCTCTGTTTATAGAATCATATAATCCTAAAGTTGGAAGAGACCCCAAGGGCCATCCAGTCCAACCCCCTTCTACCTTAAAGGAAGACCCAATCAAAGCCCTCCCAACAGATGGCCACTCAGCCTCTGTTTATAGAATCCTAGAGTTGGAAGAGACCCCAAGGGCCATCCAGTCCAACCCCCTTCTACCTTAAAGGAAGACCCAATCAAAGCCCTCCCAACAGATGGCCACTCAGCCTCTGTTTATAGAATCCTAAAGTTGGAAGAGGCCCCAAGGGCCATCCAGTCCAACCCCCTTCTGCCTTAAAGGAAGACCCAATCAAAGCCCTCCCAGCAGATGGCCACTCTGCCTCTGTTTATAGAATCATATAATCCTAAAGTTGGAAGAGGCCCCAAGGGTCATCCAGTCCAACCCCCTTCTGCCTTAAAGGAAGACCCAATCAAAGCCCTCCCAGCAGATGGCCACTCTGCCTCTGTTTATAGAATCATATAATCCTAAAGTTGGAAGAGACCCCAAAGGTCATCCAGTCCAACCCCCTTCTGCCTTAAAGGAAGACCCAATCAAAGCCCTCCCAGCAGATGGCCACTCTGCCTCTGTTTATAGAATCATATAATCCTAAAGTTGGAAGAGACCCCAAAGGTCATCCAGTCCAACCCCCTTCTGCCTTAAAGGAAGACCCAATCAAAGCCCTCCCAGCAGATGGCCACTCTGCCTCTGTTTATAGAATCATATAATCCTAAAGTTGGAAGAGGCCCCAAGGGCCATCCAGTCCAACCCCCTTCTGCCTTAAAGGAAGACCCAATCAAAGCCCTCCCAGCAGATGGCCACTCTGCCTCTGTTTATAGAATCATATAATCCTAAAGTTGGAAGAGACCCCAAGGGCATCCAGTCCAACCCCCTTCTGCCTTAAAGGAAGACCCAATCAAAGCCCTCCCAGCAGATGGCCACTCTGCCTCTGTTTATAGAATCATATAATCCTAAAGTTGGAAGAGGCCCCAAGGGCCATCCAGTCCAACCCCCTTCTGCCTTAAAGGAAGACCCAATCTAAGCCCTCCCAGCAGATGGCCACTCAGCCTCTGTTTATAGAATCCTAGAGTTGGAAGAGACCCCAAGGGCCATCCAGTCCAACCCCCTTCTGCCTTAAAGGAAGACCCAATCAAAGCCCTCCCAGCAGATGGCCACTCTGCCTCTGTTTATAGAATCATATAATCCTAAAGTTGGAAGAGGCCCCAAGGGCCATCCAGTCCAACCCCCTTCTGCCTTAAAGGAAGACCCAATCAAAGCCCTCCCAGCAGATGGCCACTCTGCCTCTGTTTATAGAATCATATAATCCTAAAGTTGGAAGAGACCCCAAGGGCATCCAGTCCAACCCCCTTCTGCCTTAAAGGAAGACCCAATCAAAGCCCTCCCAGCAGATGGCCACTCTGCCTCTGTTTATAGAATCATATAATCCTAAAGTTGGAAGAGGCCCCAAGGGCCATCCAGTCCAACCCCCTTCTGCCTTAAAGGAAGACCCAATCTAAGCCCTCCCAGCAGATGGCCACTCAGCCTCTGTTTATAGAATCCTAGAGTTGGAAGAGACCCCAAGGGCCATCCAGTCCAACCCCCTTCTGCCTTAAAGGAAGACCCAATCAAAGCCCTCCCAGCAGATGGCCACTCTGCCTCTGTTTATAGAATCCTAGAGTTGGAAGAGACCCCAAGGGCCATCCAGTCCAACCCCCTTCTGCCTTAAAGGAAGACCCAATCAAAGCCCTCCCAGCAGATGGCCACTCTGCCTCTGTTTATAGAATCATATAATCCTAAAGTTGGAAGAGACACCAAGGACTATCCAGTCAAACCCCTTCCTGCCTTAAAGGAAGACCCAATCAAAGCCCTCCCAACAGATGGCCACCCAGCCTTCGTTTATAGAATCATAGGATCCTAGAGTTGGAAGAGATTTAAGGGCCATCCAGTCCAACCCCCTTCTACCTTAAAGGAAGACCCAATCAAAGCCCTCCCAACAGATGGTTTTCCAGCCTCTGTTTATAAAATCATAGGATCCTAGAGTTGGAAGAGACTCCAAGGGCCATCCAGTCCAACCTCCTTCTGCCTTAAAGGAAGACATAATCAAAGCCCTCTCAACAGATAGCTACCCAGCCTCTGTTTATAAAAGCATAGGATCCTAGAGTTGGAAGAGACCCCAAAGGCCATTCAGTCCAACCCCTTTCTACCTTAATCAAAACACCCCCAACAGATGGCCATCAAGCTCTGTTGAAAAAGGGAGACTCTAGTGGACTTCCAAGGCAACGTATTGTTCCTACATTAAACATTCACAGTGCTGTCAGCATCATTGATGAATTTTAGTGTGTGTTTTGCAGATATCAGTGTCAAGAAAAATACATTTCTGATAATAATAAAATATATTTATGGACATAATAAAATATATTTCTGGACATAATAAAATATATTTCTGGACATAATAAAATATATGTCTGGACAGAGGGCCAGGATTTAGTACAGCAGTTTAACTGCCAGCTACAGTAAATCTTGCAATTCAAAAGGTTGACAGTTCTAAGCCCAGGTCAAGGTGAGCTCCTGGCCTTTAGCCCAGCTTCTGCCTATCTAACAGTTCAAAAGCAGATGTGAGTAGATAAATAGTTACCGCTTTAAAACAGGGAGGTATTTAAGGCGCCATAAGGAAATGCCAGAAAAATGCCAGCCAGTCGCACTCTCTCAGCCTCAACAAATCTGGAAAAAGTCTTGCCAAGAAATCACCATGTCGGGGTTGCCATAAGTCGGAAACTTGTTGGTTTTTTTATCTAGAAGCATGATATTAAAAGTAGAAGGTTAGAAATAAAGCAGCACTTAAAGGAAGCAACAAGCAGGAAGTTAAAAATCAGCAGGCAAGGAGTATGAGACTCGTAGATTCGTTTGTGTGCCATTACATGAATGCTTATGAATATCTGTTGTTCAAAGGGTTGACTTCTAACAAGGTCGTGCTCTTCTTGACTAGCGGTTTTCAAAAGGCGGTTTCCACATGTTCATGGAGATTCACATTTGCCAAACGGATGTGACGTCATCTTTACCTTTTTAATAAGGTTACGGTGCACTTATTTCCAATAGCTTATGGAATTTCCAACAAATGTTTGGATAAAAATGACTCCAAAACAAAAGGAAACTCACACATTTTCTTTTTCTCACTGTTTTGTTTTGTAGGGGTTCATCAGGCTGGACATGTCGGAGTTTCAGGAGAGGCACGAGGTAAAGAGCATCCTCTTCACTTCTCCTTCCATTGCTGTGGCCACTTAGATACATCCCAGAATCACCTCCAAAGTGTCAATAGGGCTTCTCACCTAAGACATTTGTCTAGATGGCACCAACTGCTGCTCTGGCCAGAATGAAGACAGTGGGGAGCAGAAGACAGTTCCATCTTGTCTTTACTAATAATATAATATAGTATATTGTATATACATATAATATTTATAATATTATAATGTAATACAGTATAATACTAGTAATAATAATACAAAATTATAATTATATATTTACATTACATGTAATATTATTAATAATCTATATAAATAAAATGTAATGTTCATTTGTGGGATTAACATAACTCAAAAAACAATGGATGAATTGACACCAAATTTGGACACAATACACCTATGAGGCCAGCGAGTGATCATCACTCATAAAAACACTGAAAAACACAGCAGAAGAGACGTAAAAAGCCAAAAAACAAAAATTACACTACAGCACATGCTGAAAACCACATATATATGCAAACACACATATATACACACATATACACATATATACAGTCAAAAACACATATACACAGACAGGGCCACAGCAATGCATGGCATGGGATGGCTAATTACTAATAATATTAAAGATAATGGTATAGTGCAATATAGTAATATAACATACTGATATTGTACTATGCTAATAATATAATATATTGTATGAAAATATATCTTGTAAGCCACTCTGAGTCCCCTTTGGGGTGAGAAGGGTGGCATATACATGCCGTAAATAAATAAATAAATAGATCCCCAGCTTTGTTCCTCTAACCCAGGCATGGGCAAACTTCGTCCCTACCAGCTATTAGGAATTGTGGGCCCAAAGTTGGCCCATGCATGTAAACAAACCCCTCCTAAGCTAATCTATAAGCCTCCCTCTTGCCTGACGCTGTGCCTTGGCCTTGCAGGTGGCCAAATTCATTGGCTCCCCCCCAGGCTACGTGGGGCACGAAGAAGGTGGGCAGCTGACCAAGAAGCTCAAGCAGTGCCCCAATGCGGTGGTCCTCTTCGATGAGGTGGACAAGGCCCACCCAGATGTCCTCACCATCATGTTGCAGCTCTTTGATGAAGTAAGGCCTCCTTTGGGCATCTGTCTATTTATTGAGCCATCCATCACTGAGTGCCCAGGGTGGTTGGTATTAGAGATTGCATGCCCTGGGTAGGGTCACTACTAAAACTGCAAGTGAGGTCAGCATGGGATTCGCTTTTGCTGACTCTGGTCATTCCAAATATTGCAATAACCGAAGGTCTGGAAGCCAAGTCTTACAAGGAGCGACAGAAGGAGCTGGGTATGTTTAGCTTGGAGAAGAGACAGTTGAAAGCAACAGTGTCAGAAATATTAAAAATTAGCTAGGTATTATTAATTACCAAAATGAAAGTCAAGCACTGAAGGGGTTGTATGGATGCAGGTAGACAGGTATGCCTGTAACTTAGTAGGCCTCTATGTCAGTTTCCCTCAGTGGGAGAAAAGTCTCAGTCTGTGGAAGGGCCTCGCAGTGTGAGTTAGGCCTTAGTCTGTGAGAGAAGCCTCTGTTTGAGGTAATCCTCGGTAAGAGAAAAGCTCCATTGTGAAGGTTAAACTTTGTGTTGTGGAAACCTTGTTCTTGTAAATAGTGCAACACTGAAAGAGTTATTAGGCTGAAGACTGTTAGAGGAGTGTGAGGTAAACTGCTGTGTGAGAGAAGCCTCGTGTGAGAAAGCTCCAGTGTGAAGGCTGCTGCATGTAAAGCTACTATGTATTTGTTTATTTCTGTTATGCCAAAGCCTGATGGAGTCAGTGGGCCAAAACTAGTGTCATCCTGAGGAGTGTGAGGTAAACATCTGTGTGAGAGAAGCCTCGTGTGAGAAAGCTCCAGTGTGAAGGCTGCTGCATGTAAAGCTACTATGTATTTGTTTATTTCTGTTATGCCGAAGCCTGTTGGAGCCAGTGGGTGAAAACTAGTGTCCTGAGGAGTGTGAGGTAAACCTCTGTGTGAGAGAAGCCTCGTGTGAGAAAGCTCCAGTGTGAAGGCTGCTGCATGTAAAGCTACTATGTATTTCTTTATTTATCTTATGCCGAAGTCTGTTGGAGTCAGTGGGCCAAAGCTAGTGTTGTCCTAAGGACTGTGAGGTAAACCTCTGTGTGAGAGAAGCCTCATGTGAGAAAGCTCCAGTGTGAAGGCTGCTGCGTGTAAAGCTACTATGCATTTGTTTATTTGTGTTATGCCGAAGCCTGTTGGAGTCAGTGGGCCAAAGCTAGTGTCATCCTGAGGACTGTGAGGTAAACCTCTGTGTGAGAGAAGCCTTGTGTGAGAAAGCTCCAGTGTGAAGGCTGCTGCATGTAAAGCTACTCTGTTTATTTGTGTTATGAAAACCTAGTTCTTTTAAATAGTGCAACTATATTATTTTACTACAAAGAAAAGCCTCCTACGGAAGATATAACATTAGTCTGTGTGTTTTTGTTCTCTTTATCACTTTGGTCTACTGGTGCTGGGTCATGCTGCTGCTGCTAAGTTACTCTGCTATACATTTATGAGAAGGGTCTTTTGATAATAAGCCCACTTGCCCAATAGATAAGGCCCCATCTACATTGACCATCTAATGTAGGCTTACTCAAGCTGCAAACCTCCAGCCATTTGGACCTCCCAACTCCCAGAAACCCCACTTTCCAGCTTGTTCAATGGTCAAGGATTCTGGGAGTTGGAGGCCCAAAAAATTGGAGGACCACAGTTTGGGGCTGCCTGATGTAATGCAATTCAATGCTAGCTGAAGAAGCCTGGAGCATGTGCAGATTTCCAGCTGCTGTTCTCCCTACGTCCTCTGCCTTTGGAATCTTGGTTAGAAGAATGGGGGGGGGGGGTTGGATTTCTCTTTCCTTCCTCCCGAGGATTAATAACTCCGGCCTTTTGGTTGCATAGATCACGAGTGGCAGCCGCTAAATGCGAAATCAATTCCTGAACCGCCGGCACACGCCGAACAGAGCAATAACCGAAATGTTAATCCCAGGCACCTGACACAAAAATGTGTGCATCGTTCTGCCGGGCCTCAGCCGCTCCCAGCCGTGCTCTCTTTGTGCCCAGGCAGACACACACTCTTGTCTTATCTCTCCCTTTCCTCCCGTATCCCAGGCCATAGGGCTGCAACATTATCCGTATTTCCGAACAGGTCTGGTTTGTACTAAATGCCTCCTGTCCTCTCAACCTCTCAGGGCATTTCTTCAAATCTCAGGTCTGTCAGAGTGACTGGAGTGGCCCCACCAAACTCACAAAGAAGACAGAATCCTAGAGTTGGGGAACCCCAAAGGTCATCCAGTCCAATCCTGTTCTGCCAGGCAGGACATCTCCGGTCCATCCCCTGTTTGGATATCAGCCAACACTCCAATACCTTAAATAAATCAAGAAATAGATTTCTAAGATCTACAGGGACACTTGCTGGAACACCTCAGCAAGCGAGAGTCCAAAAGTGGCAGGCTCAAACCCAGAACCTCAATCAATGGCTGATACCAAATGAGAGTCTCCCCTTTGGGCACACAGAAGACTGGGCCACTTGGAAGGCGCTGAACAGACTGCGCTCTGGCACCACGAGATGCAGAACCAACCTTAAGAAATGGGGCCACAGAGTGGAGTCCACAACATGTGGGTGTGGAGAAAAGAAACCACTGACCACCTATTACAATGTAGCCTGAGCCCTGCCACATGCACCATGGAGGACCTTCTTGCGGCAACACCGGAGGCACTCTAAGTGGCCAGCTACTGGTCAAAGGACATTTAATAGAATGCCAAGTTTGCAAACTTTGTGTTGTTGTTTTTTTCTATTAAAAAAATACTATACAACTGTTTGGTTCACTCCTGACATGATAAATAAAATAAATAGGCAGGAAGACACCATCCAAGCCCTCCCAACAGATGACCATCTGGCCTCTGTTTAAAACCTCCAATGGACTCCACCCCTACTGCCAGGTAGCTGTGGATTCCACCGCGGAGTAACTCTTTTTGTCAGGGGTTCTATGCAGTCTGCTGGAGAAGAAGGGACTCTATTACCTCCAGTTAAGAAGCCAGATACCTTCAGGTGGTTGTAGTGGTCTCCTCTGGGAACAAGACCATGCAACCAAAGTTGTTCTTTCCAAAAAGGAAGGTTTTTCTCTTTAGTTGCAGCAGCAGCAGTATAAACACAGTATGTCCAATATGTGCAAACTTTCCCACTGCAATCCCCCAACACATCGTTTTCCTGTACATTTATGAGAAGGGTGCATATCCAGTCCCTTCCACACCTGACTCCTGCTGGGGTTCCTTGGCTCTGCTTGCTTTGTACTGAGTTTCATGCCACAGGTGTACAGTGGAGAGGGAAAACATGTCATTAGGACCACTTTTGTTGCATCTCTTTCTCCAAATTCCTTTCGCCAGTTCCCCTTCGGATGTTTGGCTGGAGACTTTGCCCACACTCCTCCTTTTCACCAAGCACGGCTTTTCCCCTTGTATTGTCGAAGGCTTTCATGGCTGGAATCACTAGGTTCTTGTGGGTTTTTTCGGGCTATAGGGCCATGTTCTAGAGGCATTTCTCCTGACGTTTTGCCTGCATCTATGGTAAGCATCCTCAGAGGTAGTGAGGTCTGTTGGAAATAGGACTTGGAACAGTTTCTCCCCGTAGAGATGTTCAATGTATTTTCCCCTTGTGTTTCGAAGGGGCGGCTTACAGACGGGAAGGGGAAGACCATCGACTGCAAGGACGCCATCTTCATCATGACCTCCAACGTGGCCAGTGACGAGATCGCCCAGCACGCCTTGCAGCTGCGGCAGGAGGCCATGGAAATGAGCCGGAAGAGGATCGCCGAAAAGCTGGGTACCGTTGGCCTTCCATGTTTGTGGGTTCAGCCTTTGTGTGGACTCTCTGGGAATCTCTAAGGCAGGCATAGGCCAACTTTGGCCCTCCCTCCAGGTGTTTTGGACTTCAGCTCCCACAATTCCTAACAGCATTGTTTCATAATAGAACCAATTAGGAAATGACATTTATAAGTAATATTTATAAGTAAAATTTGTAAGTAAAATTATAGTGAGTGAAAAGTGAATATATAAACCCCTTTTCCGAGTTCCAACAGACCTCACTACCTCTGAGGATGCTTGCCATAGATGCAGGCGAAACGTCAGGAGAGAATGCCTCTAGAACAGTGGTTCTCAACCTGGGTCCCCAGATGTTTTTGGCCTTCAACTCCCAGAAATCCTAACAGCTGGTAAACTGGTTGGGATTTCTGGGAGTTGTAGGCCAAAATATCTGGGAACCCCAGGTTGAGAACCACTGCTCTAGACCATGGCCATACAGCCCGAAAAAACCCTACAACAACCCAGTAATATTATTATCATTATAATTAATAACCCAGGAACAGCAGGGTTATTTATTTATTTATTATTTGAAAGATGGAAGGGAGGGAAAGATAAAGAAAAGAGAGAAGGAAGGAAAGATGAAAGGAAGGGAAGGAGGGAAGGAAAGAAGGAGAAAGAGAGAGGGAAGGGAAGAAAGATAAGGAGGAAGGAAAAAGAAGGAAGGAAGGAAGAATGGAAGAAAGGAAGGAATAAAAGAAGGGAGAAGGAAGGAAGGAAGGAAGGAAGGAAGGAAGGAAGGAAGGAAGGAAGGAAGGAAGGAAGGAAGGAGGAGGAAAAAGGGAAGGAAGAAAGGAAAGGGTGGAAGGGAAGAAGGAAGGAGAAAGGAGGGGAAGGGAAGAAAGATAAGGAGGAAGGAAAAAGAAGGAAGAAGAAAAGGAAGGAAAGCAAAAGGGTGGAAGGGGAGGAGGAAGGAAGAGGAGAAAAGGAGAGAGGGAAGAAAGGAAGAACGAAAGGGTGGAAGAAAAGGAGAAGAGGGAGGGGAAGGAAGGAAGGAAGAAAAGGAAGGCAGGAGAAAAAGGGAGAGGAGGGAAGAAGGAAGGATGAAAGGGTGGAAGAGGGAGGGGAGAGAAGGAAGAAAAGGAAGGAAGGAAGGCAGGAGAAAAAGGGAGAGAGGGAAGAAAGGAAGGACGAAAGGATGGAAGAGAAGGAGAAAGAGGGAGGGGAAGGAAGGAAGGAAGAAAAGGAAGGCAGGAGAAAAAGGGAGAGAGGGAAGAAAGGAAGGACGAAAGGGTGGAAGGGCAGGAGAAAGGGAGGGAAGAAAGAAAAGAAAGGAAGGAAGGAGGGAGAAAAAGGGAGAGAGGGGAGAAAGGAAGGACGAAAGGGCGGAAGAGAAGTAGAAAGAGGGAAGGAGGAAGGCAAGCAGGCAGGAGAAAAATGGAGAGGGAAGAAAGGAAGGATGAAAGGGTGGAAGGGAAGGAGGAAGGGAGGGAAGAAAGAAAAGAAAGGAAGGAAGGAGGGAGAAAAAGGGAGAGAGGGGAGAAAGGAAGGACGAAAGGGCGGAAGAGAAGTAGAAAGAGGGAAGGAGGAAGGCAAGCAGGCAGGAGAAAAATGGAGAGGGAAGAAAGGAAGGATGAAAGGGTGGAAGGGAAGGAGGAAGGGAGGGAAGAAAGAAAAGAAAGGAAGGAAGGAGGGAGAAAAAGGGAGAGAGGGGAGAAAGGAAGGACGAAAGGGCGGAAGAGAAGTAGAAAGAGGGAAGGAGGAAGGCAAGCAGGCAGGAGAAAAATGGAGAGGGAAGAAAGGAAGGATGAAAGGGTGGAAGGGAAGGAGGAAGGGAGGGAAGAAAGAAAAGAAAGGAAGGAAGGAGGGAGAAAAAGGGAGAGAGGGGAGAAAGGAAGGACGAAAGGGCGGAAGAGAAGTAGAAAGAGGGAAGGAGGAAGGCAAGCAGGCAGGAGAAAAATGGAGAGGGAAGAAAGGAAGGATGAAAGGGTGGAAGGGAAGGAGGAAGGGAGGGAAGAAAGAAAAGAAAGGAAGGAAGGAGGGAGAAAAAGGGAGAGAGGGGAGAAAGGAAGGACGAAAGGGCGGAAGAGAAGTAGAAAGAGGGAAGGAGGAAGGCAAGCAGGCAGGAGAAAAATGGAGAGGGAAGAAAGGAAGGATGAAAGGGTGGAAGGGAAGGAGGAAGGGAGGGAAGAAAGAAAAGAAAGGAAGGAAGGAGGGAGAAAAAGGGAGAGAGGGGAGAAAGGAAGGACGAAAGGGCGGAAGAGAAGTAGAAAGAGGGAAGGAGGAAGGCAAGCAGGCAGGAGAAAAATGGAGAGGGAAGAAAGGAAGGACGAAAGGGTGGAAGGGCAGGAGAAAGGGAGGGAAGAAAGAAAAGAAAGGAAGGAAGGAGGGAGAAAAAGGGAGAGAGGGGAGAAAGGAAGGATGAAAGGGTGGAAGGGAAGGAGGAAGGAAAGAGAGAAGAAAGGAAGGATAGGATGGTGAAAGAGAGGAGGGCCTGAGAAAAGAGACCAAGGGGCCGCATCCACGCCTGGGTTTACCCATACCTGCTTTAACCCCAGCAAATGTGGAGAGCCAGCTGTCATAAATGGGGAAAAACATGGGAAGTGTTTATTAAACACAAAAACAAAGTTTCTGGAGTAGAACAACTCTTTTCAAAGTAAGGGCTGCACAATTAATCAGGAAAGAACACTTTCAAGCCAGGAGCAGAATTCTGTTTAAATGCTATTATGTAGTGTTGTTGTTGTTTCTGCTTTTCTGCTTTATCACTCTTTAAAAAGAGACCCAAAGTGGCCAAGTGTGCATCTGGGCCTTTTGCTTTTTGGAAAAGGCGTTGTGTTTTGGGTGTTTTGGCTGAAGGCGCCGTTTTTCCCTTTCAGACGACGTCCAGATGACAGACAAGATCACCATCTCCAAGAACTTCAAGGAGAAAGTCATCCGCCCCATCCTCAAGGTACTACTGTTACAGATGGTGCTGTTTACTCACAATCACTCAGCCTTTGCGGGACATTCGTCTTGGGTTTCCGGGTTGGATTTCACTCTCTTTCGGTGGAGAACCATTTGCACACTGGAGCAGATTGTATCTGGGGGTGCGGGTTTGTTAGTTTCTGTTGCAATGGTCGTAGAATCATAAAGATGACCCCCAAAGGCCATCTAGTCCCACCACTCTTCCTTCTGCCAGGCAGAAAGACACTATCTGAGCCCTCCCAACATCCGCCTCTGCCTAAAAGCCTCCAGAGAAGGAGACTTCAGTGGACATGAGTGAGGTTTGACTTTTAAAATACCATGTTTGTGACACTTTAAAATGTGTCACCCAATACCATAAGCTAAATCCTGTTCCAAAAGATCTTCAGCTGTTTTCCTTGAAGTAAATTTTCACTTCAGTAATTTGACACAAGCCTTTGTTGTAAGAAATTGAACAAAGGAATATTTATTTATGTTTTCACAGGCACAAAGCGTAGTGGTTACAGAGTCTTATCTTCCCAGTACTTCTTAGATATTGTTACAGTTAACTTTTATTATCATGAACATTTGAAACAGTTTCTGTATATATAACTTCCAAAATGGCTTATCTTCTTGCCAGCCTATTTTAATAATAAAATGTTACTATTTTCAGTCTTCTGACTGGGTAAATGTAATCTTGTAGTTTCTTCACCTTAGCAATAGGTTAACTGTGAATTTATCTTTCAAAGTACACTTTTATCCTCAGTCCCACTGACTGACCCAGTTTCTTCTTTTATTTACTTCAGCTCTGCCACTGAAGACACAATATAATCCTGGGAATTCTTTTCCCCTCGCTCACAAGCTAGCTTCTAATTCAAAACTGGTTCACCTAACACTCTAAATATCAAGGCTGAAGACTTAAACTCCTTCGTCCAGCTCTAACACAGCCAGTACCAACCTACCTTTAGCTCCTCTGGCTAAAGACTGGCTCACAATTTAAAATGTCTGCTCTACTCTTGGTAGTTCGCTCCGCCCCCTTTTGCTCCTAAGCTCTGCTGAAACATTTCTACTGCAGGCTTCATTACTATGGCAACGCATCAACCAAGCAGCTGTAGCTCAAGTTGGTCTGATGGTCTGCCCTTTGTCTCCTTCCTTAGGCTCACTTCCGGAGAGACGAGTTCCTCGGAAGGATCAACGAAATCGTTTATTTCCTCCCCTTCTGCCATTCGGAGCTCATCCAGCTGGTCAACAAGGAGCTCAGCTTCTGGGCAAAGAAGGTAAGGACGTGACATTTTCTGCCTTCTCGGTCCTGCAACGAATATACTTTTATCAATGTTGTGCAAAAGATGGAGCCGTGGGGCCCTTGGGGATCCACACAAGGGACCCTAAAGCCACTCAAAACACAATTTCAGGCCCAAAGCATCACATACCCCTTTCAAATGTGTCACCATTCCCTAACTGTGTTCTGTGGAAGCCTAGGATTCTGCAAAAAAACATCGTAGGAATTTCACACAAAAAATATTGAAAATCCATGACACAGCATGAACATTTTATCGAATTTCAATGTACCTCTGAATTAAAAATGAAATTTAAATCCGTGCTGCTGAGTGAGAGTTGGGTGGAACTGATGGATCGGTTGACGGAAAGGCTCTCCAACCAATGTTCCCCTTCCATGTCTACTTGTCACTACCAAGCTGGCTTTTTAAGCTTATGTTTGCACTAAAAAGATGTTTGCATCTTGTTGATGGGAAGCTTCCCACCAGAGTGGAAATCATCTATCAGACAGATGGCAAGCTATTTAACCTCAGCAAAGCCAAAACCAAGGTTATAGAACTCCAATATGCTGATGACAACATCATCTGTGCACATTCATAAGAAGACATACAAGCCTCTCTAAACATCTTTGCAGAAGCATACGAGAAGCTCGGCCTCTAACTGAACATCAAGAAAACCAAAGTGCTCTTCCAGCAGTCACCAGCCAATCCCTCTCCATTTCCAAAAATACACCTTAATGGTGTAACATTAGAAAATGTTGACCATTTCCGCTCCGTTGGCAGCCACCTCTCCACCAAAGTCAACATTGACAATGAAATACAACACCGCCTGAACTCTGCAAGTGCAGCATTCTTCAGAATGAAGCAGAGAGTGTTTGAGGACCGGGACATCCGTAGGGATACCAAGGGGCTTGTTTATTGTCCATATGCCTGTGAGACGTGGACTGTCAACAGACATCACATTCAACTCCTGGAACGATTCCATCAGCATTGCCTCTGAAAAATCCTGAAAACCTCTTGGGAAGGCAAGCAAACAAATGTCAGTGTGCTGGAAGAAGCAAAGACCACCAGCACTGAAGCAATGCTCCTCCACCATCAACTCTGCTGAACTGAATGCCACGCTGTCCAAATGCTCAAAGATCACCATCTTCCAAAGCAGTTGCTCTACTCTGAACTCAAGAATGGAAAACGGAATGTTGATGGACAGGAAAAGAGATGGAAAGATGGGCTCAAAGCCAACCTTAAAAAAATGTGGCAGTGACACCAAGAACAAGGAAGCCATGGCCCTTGAGCGCTCTAACTGCAGGCAGAGAGTTCCACTGCTGAACATGATGACAACAACGGCAATGATGGTGATGATGATAGAGCCAGGGCAGTTTGCCTGCTGAACATAATAACAACAACATCAATAATAGCAACCAAAGACTCTGGCACAAGCCAGTCAAGGGGATCCCAGTGGTGATGCAGTGCCTCAAGACCTTGGCCTGCACTTAAAAACAATCAGCGCTGACAAAATTACCAGCTGCAAAAGGCCACCTTGGGATCTGCACACATTATTCGTTGAACAAAACTGAAGACCTTCATCATCACAGCCTGTGAAGGAACTATTGGATAGCAAAGCAAAAAACATCAAGATTGGTTTGACAAAAATGACAACAAGATCCAACAGCTAATTGAGAAGAAAAGGAAAGAGGAGGATGCTTGCCATAGATGCAGGCGAAATGTCAGGAGAGAATGCCTCTAGAACATGGCCATATAGCCCGAAAAAACCTACAACAACCCACTGTATGTTACATAGTTTATATAATTATTGTCTAAGTATGTCTGTTTATGTACATATAAAAAAAAAATTCAAGCCAAAATTGAATTGGGTGGAAGTAAGAATGAAAAAGCCTACAACAACCCAACACCACCAAGGCCTCCTGAACCGCAGCTCCAACGTGGCCGAAGAGGTTCTCTCACAAATGTCACAACAACAAACCAGGGATGAGCTTGCAGCACCGCCTAGTTTGGAAGAAGTCAGCAATGCCATTCAATTAGCCAACAAAAATATTACAAAGCCAGCGGACCTGATGGGATCCCTGCTGAAATCTTTAAAGAGGGAGGACTTGAGAGCTGATACACCAACTCCACCAGCTCATAGAAAAAGTGTGGGTGACTGAGAAAATCCCAGCAGATTTCAAGGATGCCACCATCATCATCCTCAAAGCCAACCTTGAAAGCTCTGGCAGAGACACCAAGTATTGGGAAGTCCTGGCCCTTGAGCACTCTAACTGGAAGTCAGCTGTGGCCAGCAGTGCTGTGAAATTCAAAGAGGCACGAATGGAGGGCAAAAAGGAGAAACGTGCCAAGAGGAAGAAGGTGCATCAAACCAACCCTGAACGGGACCACCTTCCACCTGGAAATCGATGTCCTCACTGCAGGAGAACAAAAATACGGCTCCACAGCCACCTACATATCCACTGCCAAGACACTACATTTGGAAGGCCATCATCCTCGAGTTACGAGGGATCGCCTAAGTAAGTAAGTTTTTATAGTTTTAAAGAAGAGATTAATCTTATGTTTTATTTGTTTATTAAATATGTTTTCCTTTCTATTGTAAATTGCCTGGGTGGGTTGAGAGGTGATAAAGAGAGACAAACAGCTTAAATAAGCAAATTATTTAAGCTGGACCACACCAACAACCACCATGTCAGACTACAAAGAGAAGCCATTGAAATCCACAAGCATGTGGACAATTTCAACAGAAAGGAGGAGACCATGAAAATGAACAAAATCTGGCTACCAGTATTAAAGAACTCTAAAATTACAACAGCAAAACAGCAGAGAGGAAACAACCAGGCACATCTTAACACCTCTCAACAAAAGATTTCCCAGGCTCAGGCAGGCCTTCAAATGCTAATGAAGGTGGTCAGCTGAAACATTCACACCTAGCTCCAGCAGAGAAGAGCTCCTTGCCCCACCCCAGCCATTCCACAGATATATAAACCCATTTTCCTATTTCCAACAGACCTCACTACCTCTGAGGATGCTTGCCATAGATGCAGGCGAAACGTCAGGAGAAATGCCTCTAGAACATGGCCCTATAGCCCGAAAAATCCCACAAGAACCTAGTGATTCCAGCCATGAAAGCCTTCGACAATACAGCAAATTAAAAATCAATGAATAAGTCTTATTGGGAGGGAAAGAAGGGGATGTAAACCTCAGGCCGCTCTTATGTTTTCTATTCAAATGGTGTTTGTATTCTTTTTTAATATATCTGTTTATATTTATTATTTTAAATAACGTGTTTGCGTGGCGCATGTGGTCTCAGAGGTCCGGCTGGGCTGCGAGGCGAGAGACAGGGAAGGAAATAAAAGAGGAAAAGCAAAGTGAAGCCACATTGCGCTCCCTTCCAAATCAAAACAAAGCCTGCGAATGGGCACGGAGCGGTGACAGGCTGTCCTCTCCTCCTCCTCCCTCTGCAGGCCAAGGCACAGCACAACATCACTTTGGTGTGGGACAGGGAGGTCATGGATGTCCTGGCTGACGGGTACAACCTCCACTATGGCGCCCGGTCCATCAAACACGAGGTAGGAGGCCATTGCAAGGGATACAGTCACTCCAGATTGGAGAAGAAGGCCGCCGGTCGGGCGTGAGCCAACAGTGTGATGCAGCAGCCGAAAAAGCCAAGGCGATTATTCCTGATTGCATCAGTACACAGGCATGGGCCAACTTTGGCCCTCTCTCTAGGTGTTTTGGACTTCAACTCCCACAATTCCTAACAGCCGGTAGGCTGTTAGGAATTGTGGGAGTTGAAGTCCAAAACACCTAGAGAGAGGGCCAAAGTTGGCCCATGCCTGATCAACACCATATCTTGTATTTGCATATCTCATTGTATGTCTTTTACTAGTGTTTTATTTCTTGTTTTAACGAGGTCATATCCTGCTTTGAGCCGCAAGGAGAAGCGGGAAATAAATTCATTGTTGTTGTTGTTACAAAATTTGAATAACAACAACAACACTTTATTTGTAGCCCGCCCTATCTCCCCAGGCGGCTTCCAATATAATAAAGACAAACATTCAATGCCTCAACTGGGAAAAGTAACTCTTGACTTATCATTTGGGGAAAGTAACTCAACTATTATTGCTTAGGAGAAGTAACTACTGGGAAAAGTAACTCTTGAAACAGAAGTAAAAATATAAACTAGCCATCCCCTGTATTGTATATATATTGATAATATTATAATGTAATACAATATAATACTACTAATAATAATATGATAATTAAAATCCATTATATTAAATGTAATATTACTAATAATATTACAGTATAATGTTATAGTACAGTGTAATATATAATATTAATATTGTGCTACGGTAAAAATATAATATATTGTATTAGGGAAGGAAGGAAGGAAGGAAGGAAAGAAAGGAAAGAAGGAAGGAAGGAAGGAAGGAAGGAAGGAAGGAAGGAAGGAGAAGAAGGAAAGGAAGGAAGGAAGGACGGAGGGGTGAAAGGGAGGGAAGAAGGAAGGAAAGAAGGAAGGAAGGAAGGAAGGAAGGAAGGAAGGAAGGAAGGAAGGAAGGAAGGAAGGAAGGAAAGATAGGATGGTGAGAGAGAAGGAAGGAAGGAGGAAAGAGGAAGGGAGGAAGGGAGGAAGGAAGGAAGGAAGGAAGGAAGGAAGGAAGGAAGGAAGGAAGGAAGGAAGGAAGGAAGGAAAGGAGGAAGGAAAGAAGGAAAGAAAGAAAAGGAAGGAAGGAAGGAAGGAAGGAAGGAAGGAAGGAAGGAAGGAAGGAAGGAAGAAAAGAAAAGAAAAAGAGAGAGGAAGAGGGAGGGAAGGTTGGCCACAGCAACGCGTGGTGGGTACAGTTAGTAATAATAATAATAATGGTGATGTTGTTGATGATGATGATGATGCCATCTCTCCTCCTCCTCTTCCGAGCCCAGGTGGAGCGCCGAGTGGTGAACCAACTGGCAGCCGCCTACGAGCAGGAGCTACTTCCACGCGGTTGCACGCTGCGCATCGCGGTGGACGACTCAGAGCGCCCACTCCTGAAGGCGAAGGACGGTCCGGCCCTGAAGGAGGAGGGCCAGCCACGGAAGGGGGGTCCCGCGCTGCGGCTGGAGATTGTGGAAGACAGCAAGTGCCGGAAGCTGGACATCCAAGCCCCACTGCTGCCGGAGGAGATGTCCTTCCCCTTGTAGGCCTGGGTGTGGCCTTTGGGGGGGCTTCTGGAGGATTTTGGAGCGTGTGGTCAGTAATAAAGCGATCGTGAGACATTGCAAGGGAGTGGAGAAGGTGGGCAGGAAGGTTGTGGGTGTGCGGGGTGTGTGGAATAGCCATTCCCATGAGGCTCGCTGCAAAATGCAAGCATGCACCAGCTTGGAATCATGCATTTGGAGTTTGTGTCTTTTATTATTATTTTGTCTCCCTTTTCTCTCTCCAAGGGAATGCACACAACGAAGGAATGTATTGGAGGCATGGGCAAACTTTGGCCCTCCTCCAGGTGTTTTGGACTTCAACTCCCACCATTCCTAACAGCCTCAGGCCCCTTCCTTTTGCCCCTCAGCCGCTTAAGCGGCTGAGGGGCAAAAGGAAAGGGCCTGAGGCTGTTAGGAATGGTGGGAGTTGAAGTCCAAAACACCTGGAGAGCAGCCAAAGTTTGCCCATGCCTGATGTATTGGTTCCAGGTGCATTGTTTACAGGAGAAGCTTTCCTGTAAACAATGGAAGGTGCACAGCGTTCCTCCCAAGTGCCAATCAGTCCTTTTTAATTTATTACTCACAATAAATGCAGAATGGTTCGTCACCTGGTTTCTCTCCCTCTGCCTCATTCTCTCTGCCTTTGGGCCAAAATTCACAATTGCACATCCTGCACCAGAGTCGGATTTTTTGACCAGCTGTTAGGAATGGTGGGAGTTGAAGTCCAAAACACCTGGAGGCACAACGTAATCTAAAGGTAGATTACGCAACCCTTTAGATTACTCAACCCATGCCTGTTTTAGAGTGCCGTGGGGTTCCGTCCTGGCCCTGGAGACAGGTCAGGATACCGAAAATCCACAAACCTGGGGGAAAACCAGCAGCATCTACCACCAAAATAAGATAAATACTTTTCTCCTGAAGATCAGTCCCAAGGCTAGTTCATTATATCCAGAAACAACCTATCTCTTGCATACCTCCACCCTTAATTGCTTTCACCCATGAATTCTTACTTAGATTACTCAACCCTTAGATTACTCAACCCATGCCTGTTTTAGAGTGCCGTGGGGTTCCGTCCTGGCCCTGGTCCTGTTCAGGATCTCTATTAATGAAGGATTAGGAGGCATAATAATCAATGTATTGTCGAAGGCTTTCGTGGCCGGAATCACTGGGTTGTTGTAGGTTTTTCGGATTGTCTGGCCATTGCTCTAGAAGCATTCTCTCCTGACGTTTTGCCTGCATCAGAGGTTGTGAGGGTGCTTGCACAGATGCAGGTGAAATGTCAGGAGAGAATGCTTCTAGGACATGGCCAGACAACCCAAAAACATACAACAACCCATGACAATCAAGTTTGCAGGTTCCGTCCTGGCCCTGGTCCTGTTCAGGATCTCTATTAATGAAGGGTTAGGAGGCATAATAATCAATGTATTGTCGAAGGCTTTCGTGGCCGGAATCACTGGGTTGTTGTAGGTTTTTCGGGTTGTCTGTTGTGAGGGTGCTTGCACAGATGCAGGTGAAACGTCAGGAGAGAATGCTTCTAGGACATGGCCAGACAACCCGAAAAACCTACAACAACCCATGATAATCAAGTTTGCAGGCAGGACCAAATGGGGAGGGATAGCCCATAACCCAGAAGAGGTTTAGCACAGCTGGTAAATCACCAGCAACTATAAGATCTATCAACCCGAAAGGTTGCAAGTTCGAAGCTCTGGGTCGGCATGAGCGGCTGACTGTCAGCCCTGCTCACTGTTGACCTAAGCAGTTTGAAAACATCTTTGAAGTCCTGGGTCGGTGTGAGCGGCCGACTGTCAGCCCTGCTCACTGTTGACCTAAGCAGTTTGAAAACAGCTTTGAAGTCCTGGGTCGGTGTCAGCGGCTGACTGTCAGCCCTGCTCACTGTTGACCTAAGCAGTTTGAAAACAGCTTTGAAGTCCTGGGTCGGTGTGAGCGGCCAACTGTCAGCCCTGCTTACTGTTGACCTAAGCAGTTTGTAAACGGCTTTGAAGTCCTGGGTCGGTGCGAGCGGCCGACTGTCAGCCCTTCTCACTGTTGACCTAAGCAGTTTGAAAACAGATTTGAAGTCCTGGGTCGGTGTGAGCAGCCGACTGTCAGCCCTGCTCACTGTTGACCTAAGCAGTTTGAAAACAGCTTAAGCTGTATTTATTTATTTCTTTACAGTATTTGAATACCTCTTTTCTCACCCCGACGGGGACTCAAAGTGGTTGACATATAAGTAAAGGCAAAATTCAATGCCAGTACAAAGAATTACAATTATACACTACAGTTAGACATAAAACAAATTAAAACAATACATCCAATAAGCAATAAAACAATCATTAAAACAATCAACAGTAATTAGAGAAATTAGGTACCACTAAAAGCAGGGGAGGTGTTTTACAACGCCATAATCAAAGATCAGAAAATGTTGACCATCCAAAAGGAAGGAGGAAGTCCTGATGGCTCTTCGTCATAGAGGATGGAGTGACAGCACCCCCTGTGACTGGACTCGAGCCCAACCTTCCATGGCATCAAAACAACACATCTCCTTTCTGTTCTGTCTGTCTGTGTACTGTCTATACAAAGCGGCATCGAATGTTTGCCGTGTATGTGTTTTGTGATCCACCCTAAATCCCTTTTGGGGTGAGAAGGGTGAAATATAAATATATTATTATTATTATTATTATTATTATTATTATTATTATTATTATGACAGGAGCAGAATTCAAAACGATCTTCACAGATGAGAGAGATGATGGGCCAAAACTTACACAATGAAGTTCAACAGGGACTAATGCAAGAGACTCCACTTAGGCAGATAAAAGGAAAGGCAAAGAGACAGAATGGGGGATGATACCTGGCTTGACCCCAGGACATGTGGGAAAGATCTTGGAGTCCTCATAGGGAGGAAGGGGAACAAGAGCCAGGAATGTCATGTGACACCTAAAAGACTCAATGGGATTTGGGAAGCAAAGGGAAGAAATCCATCCACTCTGGTTAAAACTGCTTCTCTCGCTTAAGACTGAAGCGGGAAGGAAAGGAAAGGAAGGAAATCCATCCCCACTGGTTTAAACTGACGAGAATCCATCCCATCCACACTGGTATAAACAGACACGGGACAGAAAGGAAAGGA